CCTAGGGCCTCGGTGGGAAAGGAGTGACCTGGGAAGATGACCGAGGAGGCAGTTGCCTAGTCTGTTGTAAGTGCTTTATGGGTGTTTTCGGCTTAAAACCCCACAAGTGCCCCCATGACATCCTGCCCCTTCATTGAACAGATGGGGGCCCTAGAAAAGTGGGAGAGTGACCCCAGGCTGCACTGCCTTCAAGTGGTGTACCTGTTATTTGAGCTCGGCCCGTGGGCTGGTAAGCCCAGGCCATGCCGCCTCTAGGGGAGGTGGGGCGGGCTCCTGGCAGGGCCTCGGGCTCCAGGGGCACAGATCCACTCGCTGGGCAGGTCGTGAACCTGCTGGGCCCGTTGTCCCCTGGTGCCTGCTTTCAGCCTTGTGCTGTGGTCCTCTGGGAGAGTGGACCTAACGTGCCCCGAGTGTATAGTTCATGAAGAGTGATGGCTGCCCCCCCACCCCACCCCCGGGTCTGCCTGGGGAGTACCAGGCATTTCATAGTCACAGCAGTGCTCTGGGACTTTAGATGATTAATCCATGCTACATGTGAGGAAACCGAGGCTGACAGAGTCGGCCCGGCCCCAGCAAGGGTTGGCACCCAGGCAGGCGGGGTGGGGAAGCATCCCTGGTTTCTTGGTGCCCAGGTCCCTGTGGTTGCAGGAAGCCAAGTAGAGTAAAAGCAGCGCTGGCCAGCAGGGGGCGCTGTGGCCAAGGCCGGCCAGGTGACAGCTGCCAAGTTGAAGGTGAGGACCGGTTGGTTCCCAGGCCTCTCAAAGCGCCCTGGCCCTTGCAGGCCCCGGTGGGCTGGGTTGGGCTGATTTTCAGTTTTCAGGCTGCACTTGATTTGGCCCAGGTGCTGGGCCCTCGGGCTCGCCCTGGCGAGATTTCATTCGCTGAGTGGAGTGGGCAGCGCTGGCCGCGTCCCAGGCGTCCCAGCTGCCCAGCTCAGCCGGGCGCCGCCCCAGCTCTGGGCACAGATGGGCAGGGGCCTTGGCTTGGCGGCTCTGCTCTGGATTTGATGTTAGCTGGGATCCTTTTAAGTGTCACCGTTTCTAACCCACATCCCAGCAGTGGAGAAAATCTTATTCCGCTTCCCTTCCAGTCTCGGCGCTGTGACAGTGATTGTTTTTCTTTTCACTTTATGGTTAGAAATTTACATCACAGTGGCAAACGTGCCTTCTTAGGCACTTCCCCGCGCCCCTCCCAACCCCCGCCCCGCCCCATTGTAACTGCTGAGGCCTCTGGGTGTTGGTGAAAATCTTCATCAGAAAACGGGAACTGCATTTTTGAACTTGGGACTGAAAGGACGGTGAAGCCTTGGGGGAGGGGACAAGCGACACAGCCGGCCCTTGGCTGAGGCGAGACCGGAACTCGGGGCCTGAGTCTC